ATTATATTGACCTTTCAGCCATGCATGGCTAACAATACAGATGTTACAATGATGCGGCACATGTGCACTCATGTTACTGTATCCAATAATATAAAACTAAATATATATTTAGTCTTGGTTGTGTTTTAGTAGACTAGAATTTTTTAAATACAGTCACACTTCAATTATTATACATTATATGTATATATATAGATTATTCGTATTTAGAAATAAGTTCTTGAACTTATTTTTCTTAAAACATAGAACAGTAAATAAAGAAGTAAATCAAACAGTTATCTCTTCTAGTTACGATCCTTTGTACTTGGTTGCTACAGCCTTTTAAAATTTTTCATGTGGAGGATATGAAACCAAATAATTGCACTATAATTTATCAAGCTTAGTAACTAAGATGTATTTGGGTCTAAAAAATATGAAATTTTTAGCAGACTAAAGACAAAACCTACTTCCTGGAAATCTTGATTTGAAAGAAAGAGATGGCATCCAAACATATTAAAAGCCACTAGGGGACATTCTGAGCTTTCAATTGGTTATTCATGTCATGTATAGAAGTAAGTGTATATAAGGGAGCATTTCCAAAAATGGAAAGAGGTGGGTGGGGTGCCACTGTGTTTCTAATTCGTACAAAACTATAGACTTAGTATTTTGACAGCACCATCATCTAATTTGAACCAGTGCTGCATTCAACATGCCATGTGACACACAAAAATCGATGTTTAACTGTTCTTTTTTTTAATATTTACTTTTAAATTAAGAAATTGAGTAAGGTATAATACTAAAATTTAATTAGAATCCACAGTTTGATACCAAACTTATGAATTTATGAAACAATAGTTCAATAAAATTTTGAATGCGAGTCAACAAATGTAATGACATGGCCTTTCACCTGTGACCCATTTGGAAAAGGTTAATCAAAAGTCCATGAAATAATCTAAATTGATAGATTAACTTAACTTCTTCCTGTCACTGGGGATGGGTAATTTTGGTTTTTTATAATATAATGAAGTTAGAGGAAGTAAAAATTTTAGTGATTTGAGTGCATTGAACCATTGTTTTAAACAGTGATTTGTTTTTGCCATAATTTTTACAAAAGTTATTTAAATCTTGCACTGCTAATTTTAATAAATATTGAGTGTCCTGTTTATGTTTAAAGCAGTATAATGTGTACAACTTTGCTTTAAGTTATTTTGGCCTTAGTAAAAAAGCGAAATAATACAGTTTATTCTTTCTCAGAAACTAATTATATAGTTAAATCAGGTTCTTTATAACATTATCATGTCAGTATACTGGATCATACCTTTCATTTCTGTGAGATAAAGATTGATTGTATAAACACGATGCTAAATGAACTTGTCTTTTTTTTTTGAAATGTCTTAGATAATGTGAAAATGAAAATTGTAAGGTAACAATTGTTTTTTGCTGTTATTATTACATACAAGGTGTCACTTAAGTCATTAGACAAGTGGGCGAATATACTTATTCAGTTATAATTTGAAATGGATAAAATTAGTTTTTTTTTACCAATAAATGGTCATGCCTGTATAGATACAGCTCAAAGTGTTTGCTCTCATTGCTTATGCAGTGCTAGGAACAATGGTTGTTGAGGAGATAGTTTAGCAAAGCAGAATGTCTGTACGTTAAGTTTATCAGTTACTTCATGGAAGGTCCTGTGATTATCCCTGTACAAGAGCATAACTTTGATCCTTTCTTTTATTCAAAACTTTGCATTTATAAAGAGTTAGAAAACAATAAAAACACCTTTACACATTTGTGGAGTGACTTTTATGAGACTCTGTATATTGTAATGTGTTTTAAATCAACCCATTAAAAATACTTGTATCATTAGAAACCAAAATTTTTTCAACTTTATTGTATGGAATATGAAGTGTTTTGTACTGTATTGGTTGTCTAGTAAAAGATCAACATGGTAGTGTTTAAGAGTCTGTCGAGTGCCTCACTAAGCAGGACATTATTAACAGAACTGATACAGACTATTTTTTGTTCTGAGTGTAAAATACACTTTGCAACTTCTTATTTATTGTTTTCATACATAAATACTTATATGAAATTATGAAACATCTTTTTGAATTTTAGTATGCACATTATTTCATCTTTTATATTTTTTCATTCACTAGGGTGTGATCCGAATCAATCAAAGGAACTACAATGATGCATTTATCAGTTCACCGGTAATTTTTTCTGTCATGTTTTACGTTTTTCTATTAGTTAAATGAGTGATGCCATAAGCAATAACTAATTATTTTTATTTCATTAAACTTTTGATTTTTTTTTATTTAAAATTAATCTTTTTAAACTTATCTAAAACAAAAAGGTACAAAGAGAGTGTCTGTGTATTTAATAGAAAAGCAAAATTGGGCATCGAAGTAGTCCTAAATAGGAACATAATGTACACCAAGTAATTTAAAGAAATCACATCTTTTCAATAGGTTTTGCTCTTAAAATTGTATTTGCACTACAATGTTTCAATTTCTGGGATGATTGTTGTCAAGTAGACAAAGTGTAGGTTGATAGGCAACATAATAACTTTTCTTTTGTATTTTAAAAAATGATCGACCTTGGAACAGTTGGCTGCCCTACATAACTTCAAATTATATGTATGAATGGTTATTGTTTGTGTCAGAAGTTTGGTTGGATTGAAAATAATCTTAGGAAATGATAATAAGAATATTCAGAAGGGTGCTTAGTAGGATATTTGTTTATATTAGATTTAATTAAAAAGGCTTTTCTAATTCTTCTTTTATTAATGTCTGGTACTTGTTTGAGTATAGTGATGTTTTTTAACTTTTTACTTGTGTGTTCATGCACTACAGAGGAAGGTGTTTTGTGTTCTTTAATCTGTCTGTCTAATTTGCATCCTGTTTCACATGTGTAAAAAGCCTGGTATTTGAATTGTATTTTGTTAATGTTTCCAGGAGAGTTGGGTTTGCTGTGTAGTTTTTGTGGCATGTATTTGATTTTTATTCATGGAATAAACAGGAATGTAGTTGTTATATCAAGTTCATGATTTTCTGCTTAATTTTAATGTTTTGTACAAGAAGAATGGTGCTTGTAATTAGGATCAGTGGGTTTGGATTTGTGTTTCTGTTAATATTGTCTTGTTAGGGTTTTTTGAATTAATTTACATTGTATGTAACTATTTTAGTAGAGAATTGGCAAGTATTAGTGAAACATTGGATTAAATGTAGGATTTCTTGATTTGTGTTTTCGATGGTGCACGAGATATATGCTAGATTTAGGAGGCCTTTTAGTGTGCCTAATTATTGGTAAGTTTCATGATTAGAAAAACTGTTTGTTTATTTTCAACTGTATGTGTTTCTTTTGTGGATTTTTATATTGAAATCTTAAGGGCGTGTGTGATGTTTTATTTAGAAAATTTGTTTTCTTTCTTATTAGTACATTCGATATGATAACATACCCCCTCTCACAAAACAGCTTTCCTCGATTTGTACTGCCCTCTATATGCATAAAACTTTTGCCCATCACTAGCCTTTATACTTCCACTAATCCCCACGTGTTTTCCACGTGGTATAGCTGCATTGTATCATACAAAAAAGCATGCAACAACCCTCCACCAATAGAAGTGTGACACACCCTTCCAGCACAGCTGGCTCTCTCTATGCAGTAGAACCCAATTGTCACTTTTTGGTTTGGCATGACAGTGATCAGTTGACTCTCTCATCCTTTTTTTTTGTTGTTGGTGATGGTGGTGTACAATGTTTTTGAACTTGGAAAAAATTTGAGACTTTAAACACTTCTTCACTAATTTTTTTTATTTTAAAGATCTTTAAAAATCGTCCCTATTTTTCTCCATGTTGGCATATTTGTCTGCTTCTGCTCTTTCACTCCACACATGATTCCTTTGTTGTTGGGACCTCATAGGTAAGGGAGCTCTCTTAACTCCTGCATCTCCCCTACCTCTTTGTGTAATTTATGCATAGCCTCCTTTCTATGACAAACGTTTTTGATGGGGTCTTCGTGACTCTCTGGGGCTGAGATTGGAATCTGCCTATATGCATACTTTCCTTTCCTCTCTAGCTTCTGATTTATCACAACCTTCCCTTGCTCCTGTTCCTGTGTCACAGCCACCTTCTTCATCTCCCTTACCTCTTCATTCCTCATGGGTCGCACCTTCATGGCGTTCTGTTGTTTATCGCTGACCCGCATGATGCCAATGGTACAAGTGACAGTCATGTTGGATCGGGTCCAGTAGGGGTCACATTGCTGCTTTGGATTCTTTAGGTCTTATCAGATGGATTCTCCCTTTGTTTCTTTTCACTACCTCCCCTATTCCCCCTTTTCTGTCTCCTCAGGAACCTCTGTCCAGCCAGAATCTTTCCGAGGCGGTTCAGGATCTTCTACTCAAGGGCACTATGGAAATGATAGTTCCTACTTTTCACATTTTCTATTCCAGTCTTTTTATTGTCCCCAAAAAGACAAGGGATTAGTGTTCTATTATTGATCTCTCCTATATGAACCACTATTTGGAAATTCCTTAGTTTACTATGGAGTCTTTCCTGTCTGTTTGATGGGCTTTTAATTCAGATTTTTGGGTGGCAAAGCTCATCTTGTCAGATGCTTACCTCCATAGTTTCATTTTTCTAATATCATGTCTTTATCTTTATTTCATTCACAGGGACTGTACATATCAGTTTCAGGCTGGCATAAGCTCACTACATTTTTTATCAGGTAGTCAAAGCCTATGCCTGACTTTTTCAATAACAGGGGCTTTGTTTCCATCGTTACATGGATGGCTGGCTAAGTCTAGTTCCTTCACTTTTTGCACTTTCCATTAACTTGCAGTTTCTTCTCAAGAAAACCATATGGGTTGGTTTGGCTGGTTAAGGAGAGAAGTCTGTTCTCACACTGACTAAATACCTCATTCATCTAGGGGTATTCTTCAACTCCCATCTCAATCAGGCCCAGCCTTCTCTCCTCTGACTGTGTTCCTTGGAGCTTATGATTCAAAAGGCACAATCCTCACCTTTTCTTTCTGCATGAGATGTTCTTTCACTCTGTGGGACTTGGGCTTCCTTGGAGGCTCTCATCCCCCTTGGTCTTGCCCACATACAGTCTCTTCAGTGATTCCTTCAGTATCAATGGAACCTCACCAGAGATCCCCTGGAGTACCCAATACCCCTTCATCCTTCCCTCCAGACTGATTTGGCCTGGTGGCTGGACAGGGACAACACAATGGCTGGTGTCCCTTTTCCTCCTCCACGACATGAGGTTCATCTTTTTACTGACACTTCTCTGTTTAGTTGGAGGAGGTGTACTGTGGTGTCTAAGAGATCTCAGGCTGTTGATTGTCAGTCAAGTCAAGTTTCCACATCAATACTCCGAAACTCCTGGCTGTTTGTTGGGCAATGGATCATTTTTTGCTGACTTTGAAGGGCAAAACAACGATGATTCACTCCGACAACTAAACTGTTGTCCCTTACATCACTCAACAAGGGGCATTCACTGTGTCTTCACACTTTGGACATGGAGTTATGGGCTCACAGCCATCACATTTGTTTGCTGGCCTTTAATATCCCAGGTACTTTCAATCTTGTCATGGATTGATTATCTTGTCCTGACAAGGTATTCCCTCAGTCAGGATTGAACACACCTCTACATTTATACCTATCCCCCCCCCCCATCCATCTTCTTCCCAGGGTCTTTTCCATTGTCCATACCACTCAGTGTTTAATCCTTCTAGTGGCTCTGTTCTGGCTAGCTTAACCTTGGTTCCCTCTACTTCTCCCTCTTTAGTTGTCTTCATTGACATACTCCCTTGCCAGATTGGGATCTCACTGTTGTCCTCCATGCCTTTTCTGTACCTCTGTTTGAACCTTTGGCTTCCTGTTCCATATGTCATCTATCCTTGAAAATCTTTTTTCCTCCTCCTGTTAGCTTGTGGACATTGAAGGTTGGATGTGTTTGCCATTGATGTCCCTCACATCCTTTACCACCAAACCTATGTTTACATTTATTCTGATCATGCCTTATTACCAAAAATCTCCACTGCACATGAGGGTAAGGATACCCTCACTACCATATGTCCATTTCACATCTATATTCCCATTCTGCTCCAAATTGTCTTCTGTGTCTAATCAGAGCTCTGAGGTGTTATGTGGCTCCTTTACATAGTTACTGTTTGTTTAAAACACTGGAATCCATCAGTTTCCAGTGACCTTTCTTCTATTACCCCGACTGTTTGGGTTCAGCAACTCATCTGTATAGCCTATTCCTCCTTGTCTCCTAACTCCTGTTGCCTTTTTTTGTGTCTCCACTCATTGGAGGAGATTATCCAAACTGACATGTGGACCACACCTCCTACCTTTGTGTCACATTATCTGCATCATCTGGCAGTTTCCTTCTCAGCCTGATATTGTCTACCTCTTGTTGCCATCCTTCACTCATTGGTTGTGTGTCATTTTCTTCATTATTTCATAATACAGGGGCTTCTTTGCACTTCATTTTTTAGTTTCGAGAGGTGATTGTCAAGGTAACTAATTCTTATATCAGTATTGTGTGACTGTTCCATTGCTGACACTCACTGTGGAGATGGGGTGTTCCACAAGACTGCTTATATGTTGATTGTTTTAGTGTTTTGCTTCATAAATATGTTCATCCTGGACTGTACACTCGTGGACTAACATGAGTAAATCAGAAGGGGGAATGATGCTCTTCCCTGCCGTTTTGTTGATTGTACAAATCAGGTTCAGTCTGCTTTTGAAAATAAGGTTTTGTGGTTACCCATTGCGCTTTATCCAGTGATGTGTTCCTCCAATGCATTCCCCCCCCTCTTCTAGTGGATTACGGGAGTCCTTACCACTTACCAGCACCTAACTGCTGGGGTGGTAGACCATGGAGGATTCCTCCTGAGTGTTTTCAATTCCACTCAGTTGAGAATAGAGCAGTGGTGTTCTGCTGGTGTAGGTGTGTGACTATTTTCTTACTGTGGATCTGATGTATGATTTCAGATGCCATATAGTGTGGACTACATGTTTCTGTCAGATGTCTATATGCAGTTTGCCTCTCTGACTGGAAACCCTCCTTCATACCGTTGCCTGGATTTCGTTTTCCAGGCAACTGATTTTGGTTGGAGCCAGACCAACCAACATATGTCCTCACAGCGAGTGGGCTGGGACCCTCCTCCTACCATAGACTGGATGATACATTCCCAATGGCACATGCTTTTGGACTAGAGTTGACCTTTCATGTTGCATTTCCACCTTCCTATCATTGTCTGGATGATAGTTTCTGAGGGGAATGGTGTTGGTCATGTTGGTTATGTACACGTGATGGCTTGGGTTCTTGGAATAGAATTACTTCTTCTCTTCTTTTTCATGGGTCTGAAGTGATTGGTAGAGAATCCTTCTCCTACCATGGGCTGATTGATCCAATCTTGGTGCTACTGGTTTTGGACTAAAGTTGACCTCCTGCTTGCGGTCTGACACATCCTAACCACGCTACACCAATGACACTTTATCAGATGTACCCCATTTCTTCTCATTTTCGTGACACATTCATTCATCTGGTTAGATGTGGCGTGGTCTCCCATGTATGTGTTTCCTCTCCATTGAGATGTCACACTCCTTGAGTCCTCTTCAGAAGCTTTCTACGCATGATTCATCTAAGTTACTTCTACACTAGTCCCTCCACTGGGACAGTGTGGGATTCTAGCTGTTTTGTGAGAGGAGGTAGGTTATCGTATCCGAAGTTAATATTTTCCTAAACTAAATATATATTTCAAATAGAAACTTACCACTTTTCACACTTCCCACTCATCCTCCCCACTTCAAGTATGTGTTTTTTTGCTTGATCTCAAAGTAAAGATTGAGTTCAGGTATGCTAGAAGGGTGTGTCTCACTCCTATTTGAGGGTTGTTGCATGCTACAACACAGTTATACCACGTGAAAAACGTGGAGATTAATTTGAGTATAAAGGCTAGTGGTGGGCAAAAGTTTTGTTTATATAGAGAGCTGTATAAATCAAGGAAAGCTGTTTTGTGAGATGTGGTAAGTATCTATTGGAAATATATTTTCAGTTTAGGAAAATATTAGCTTTATGTTATGTATGTGTTGGAAAAATAGTTTTGTTCATTTTTGTTTGGGAACCCACAAAAAACATCTGTATATCAAGATCAAAGTGAAGGCTTGTGTAAAGATGTGTTTATGGCATGTTCAGTATAATGTAGGAAGATTGAGTTAATGTACGTGATAGGCGAATATCCATGCTTAGTTCATGTAACTGAAGAAAGTAATTTTAAGAAAACTATACAACAAACCTAATTCCAGGAAACATTTAAAAACAACTGCCCAGCCTCAAGGTGAAACAGGATGCAATTTAGACAAAGAGATAAAAAATGCCAAAGCTATCTCTCTTAGTGCATAAACACAAGTAAAAATAACCTTAATTTTTCCTTAAAAAATGTTACCACGCTAAAACGTGAAACGGCATGTACTTTGACTAAATAAGAACTAGTTTAATATTGCTAAAAACTAGTTACTTTTCATTGTTTAATATATATGTATAGTACATTCATGATGTTAGAAAAACACTTAGGTTCAAGAAGTCTTGATAGAAGTGAATAAAAACCCTATAACCTAAGCGCTTTCGAAAGGTAGACCTTTCTTCTTTAGGGGCAAACTGAAGAAGAAAGGTCCACCTTTTGAAAGCGCTCGAGTTATAGGGTTTTTATTCATATATGTATAATAGGTACTGCTTGTTTGGAACTGGCTCATTTAGTATAATAGGTTGTTTCAGATATTGTTTATTATGCATTATTAGTAGTACTGTTCTTTAATTGATTCTTACATTTGTTATGTTGCAGGTGTTTCTCCTACTGTTACCATTATATCAGTCAGATATATAGAGGCTCAGTCAATATTTTATTAATATATTCTTTTAATGCTTTTTTCATTAAATTTTGACACCCATCCAGCCAGTTAGATACTTATTCTCTAATATTTATGATGGTCCAGCCATTTTAGCACTCCTAATGTTGCCTGTTTTCTTTTACATTTACTTGAAATTGATGGTGTTTCGTCCAGTTGATATTAATACTTTAGTTGTCTATATACAACCAAATATTGAATTGTATTCCACCGTTACTGGTAGCAATACAGTTAAGTATTTATTGTGTAATTCTGATGTTTTCTGTATATTCATTTTGGGTTTTTAATAGTTCAGGCAATTCTGATAGTTCCTAAGTTATCACTGGTGCTAGTCTCTTTGCATTTTATTGCTAACTTTATTTTGTCACATAATTTATAGTCCAGTCAATTTTCCCACTTCTTTACTCGATGTTAACAGTGAACCAGCTATTTTTTGTTTTAGTGTAATTTGTTATTCTTATTAAATGTAGCCTTACCAATGTCCAGTACTTGTCCAATTACCAATGTAGCCATAATTACATTAGTCTAATATACTTTTACTCATAACATGGTATAAAACTATAAATTAGAGACTTCTAGATTTTTTCTTTAATTAAAATGTGGATGTTAATAATCATAAATGTCCTGACAAAAGATCACCAAAAATTAATATTTTAATGAAATAAATGATTAAAGATCTCTTGAATTAATAATTAATATAGATCTGTTGGCTTGACCTTAAATGGCTTTATACTGCTCATGTTTATTCAGTTCCTTTTCAGGCATAATTTCTAATTTGAAATATCATTAGTAAAAATCATTTATTAGTTACATTGAAATAATTAAATTGTACCTTCAGTACACTAGCTTTATAACATACTTTTGGGGGATTAGTAATTCACAGAGTAATATGTTTTGGTGGAAAAAAAAGTGTCTTTCTGGTGATAACTTAATTGTATGCCTAGCGTTTATTAATATCCGAGTTGTTGTCAGGTTTATTCAGTAGAGTTAAAGAAATCTGTGGTTGTTTTGTTTTGCTCTTGACTTGTTAAGATATCTTATGATCAAGGATGGACAGATGGACATATATATCAGTGGGATGCGAGACCGAAATCGAGCCCTCAATGGAGATGTGGTGGTGGTGAAATTAAATCCACAAGAAGAGTGGAAGGTAGGTCAGAAAAGTTTTCAAAAGAATAAACTTTGAATATTTGAAAACCAGATGACTTCAAGCCATTTTGTTTTGATAAATATGCTATTCAAATATTTAGTGACAAGATACTCAAACATAATATTTTCTGTAAAACTAGAGGAAGACTGTCAAGATCAGTGACCAAATGTCAGTAAGTCTATCAAAGTTAGCATCCAAGTAGTGTCACGTAGAAATATTTATGTAAAAAGTTTTCACACCAATTTTAGGTCAGAAAATATAAAAAGGATTTGATCATCAAGCATGTAACACATTATCAGTAGCAACTTGTAGAATAAAGTATTTGAAAATAAATTAATATGTTATAAAATAACAGTGTATAAGGAAATTTCAGAAATTGCCGCTTTCAGATTTTTAAGATAAAGTTGATGCAAAGAGTTATTATGTTTCAAACACAAATTAAAATAGAAAAGAAGTATTTTATTTATATCCATGCTTACAAAAAAGTAAAAAAAACATTAATTCTTAAGATGTGGGTGGGGGTTAAAGTCTGAATGTTGTGACTTTTTTTACAGAGGTACATTTAGAACTTAATTAAACTACTTTATTATCAATGAATTCAACATAAAAATGCAGTTTACAATTTAAGTTTCAATGTAATAAAAGTTTTAATTCTTTTATTTCTAAAGAAAATATATAAGTAAATTCTCAGATTTCACTTCTATGTATCATATGACATTTCTTTGCTCTTAATTGCCCATTTGAGAATTTCTCTCCATCCCTATATTATTTTCTAATATACCGAGGACTTCCACACGTAAACATTAGATGTCCCCAAGTTAAAATGAAAATTTATAGCATCCATTCTTGCTTTAATGAGTTATATGTCATAAGATGAAACTCATATGTCACACACCTCCTAGCATGTGCTTTTTTTTTAAATGTGAATAATTCTCACTGACATTTGCTGTTGAATTATAAATAACAAATGCAAAGAGAATTTTATTTTACTGCTTTCCTTACGAGATCAGCTTGTTCTTACAATTGGTTTTGAGTTTTTCTGTGTCAGTTTCATAACTTTCTATTGCAGAGATTACCTCAACAAAAGTAAGGATATTATTTAAATACACCTATAGCTTAGTTAGGAAACCAGTTAAGTTATAATAGTGTTAGGACTTTTTTGTACGTGTTAATATTTTATGTTTTAAATTGTATATTTAAAATAGATAAAAATTAAGTACTAAAAATACACCTACAGAAAAAAATATGTTAACTTTCATTGAGACTTTGAGAGTAAAAAAGTACAGTCCCATTATATAAGTACTACATTTCTTGTACTTTATGTATATATTTTATTTATTGTTATAAAAGTAACCAAAATGTATGACTTAGAAAATGATTAGGTTAGGTTAGAAAAATTAACTGAAATAATACTTCACAGCATGAGCATGTATTTCGAGTGCATCATGTTGGAATGTGACAGCATGCTGGTAACTTGATACTGTGTTTACACAAAGTTTCCCTGCTGTGATAATTCGCTTAAGCACTAACCTAAGTGGCAGTAAAACAGTAAATCTAAGTGACTGGGAGATTTGAATATAGGAAGAAACTGGGAAAATAAAAAACAAACAACATATTCGAAAAGGGAAAAAAAAATCACCTTTTATTGTAGCTTTAGGAAAACTCGGTATCTCTTCCAAATTAAAATCGGACACTGAGCTTTTCTGAAAGCTATTAAAACTACTCTTTCTTTGAATTTTTTTTGTGTATGTATGTGTATTTTTCTTCAGTGTTTTCACATGTTAAATAGGTTTTAAATACTTATGTTTTAGTCAATTTGTTTTGGACAAACAGTAATCTGGATTTAAATGTAAGCTGTTTCCTTCACAGAAGTGTCTCCTTGTTTGCATTTAGGTACAGATAACTAAAGAATTGTAAAAATAGATAAGTATTATGATTCATAATTACAATTGTTTTTAGTTTTCCAACCTTGATATATCCTTGACATTAAATTATTTGTACCTAATTTTCACTTAGATTTTATGGGACAGTTTAAACAATTTCCAACAAAAGAATGCAGTGCAGGTTTTTTTAAAAGGCAAGGGTGAAGAGTCTCATCCTTCTAATGACAGAGATTTAAACAAGAAAAAGATTCCACCTTGCTCAGATAAATCAGAAACATTTACTTACTCTAGTACTTGTATAAAAGACAATTCGGTGCTACTTCAAGAAGTGGAACTTCAAACTCATTGTAGTGGTCCTACCCATTCAACAAACCAAGAATGTGATGACTTTAATTCAGAAAGTAATTGGGAAGCAGGTTGGACAACAAGTATTGGACAGTGGAGGGAGTCAGATACTTTGGAAATCCTGGGAGTTGACAAGTTCTTTGAACAAGTACAACAACTGGAGAAGCAGAAGAAGCAAAAGAATAAGAACCAACGTAAGAAAAACAGGAACAAGTACAAACAGAAAAATGCTTGCTGTGTTGTTGCACCACATGAATTATTAAAAGAAGACATTGGTTTTGACCATTGGGAATCTACCACAGTTTCCTCACTAGAAAACATAGATTCTTCAAGAGTGTTTCAGGATACTTCTTGCTGTCAAGTAGAAATGTCTAGTACTATGGATTCTTTTAGTTCAAGAATCTTTCATGACACTTTGGATGAACAAACTAAATCAGATTTCAAACAGTTAAAGGGAGAACAAACTGGGTGTTCCAGTGAAGATCATGTTCCTTGTGACACTTGGACAACTGATGCAGGCAGTGCTGAAAGCTATAGTGTTGTGATATCACCAGAACAGCTTCTTGACTTAACTGAGTTAGAAAACTTCCAGTTGCCTAAAAGAATAGATAGTGACAGTGAAGAAGATGGTGAAATAGGATTAGACCAAGATAGTAGCAGCATAGGTGTAGGTGGCATAGCTGTTGCTCCTGAAGACTTGAGTCCTGATGATGATCTGAGGTCTTTGAGTGGAGAGAGTATATCCAGTCTGGAACAAACTTTAGAAGATGCTGATTTCCTAGCAAGTTGTCAGGATGCTAGAAACAACAATATTAGTTCACCATTTAATAACATTCAAGATAATGATCAACCTGTTATAGAAACCAGTAGTTCCTCAGGAACTTGCCAGCAGTCTAAAGACAGTTGTAATGAACCCAGTGATAGAGATGAGAGCTTGAGTTTTACCAATATTGACACAGTAATCATTAAGTCTGCAGACACCAAGCTTGATGTTTCTTGTAAGTCTGTAACATCATCAGGATCCACAGATCTTGTGAAAGAAAAGAAAAAATTGAGGAACAGAAAAAAGAAGAAGCACAATAAAAATGTAGTGGAACACTTGGACAAAAGTGACACAAAAATATGTGAACTGAACAACTCACTTTCAGAACCAGTAAAGTGTGATGGTCTGGCTGAAGAAACTGCTGTGAAGACTGTTAATAAACATTGTCATAAAAAACAATTCAAAAAGTTTGATATGACACAGTGTGGAAATTTAACTGTGTATGATATCATGAAGACTCCTGGATGGGAAAAATTTGTTCAGAAAACTGGCAAGGTAAGTGAAATAAATATAAAACATTTAATATATTTTCACTGTATAGTTGAACAGATATTCTGCTACATGTACACTGTGATATGTTTGTAAGAAGTAATACTCATGCAATTGGTATTATACTGTATTTAATAATACATTGTTGATTAACCCATGTAGAAATCTATAAAAGTGTTAAGTATTTAAGGGTATATATTTTAGTGTTTTTGACATTGTCCGGTATTTTTTTTCATGACATACTGATTAAGATATACAATATGTTTAGGTTATACATCTTTTATTTTTTCTGATACTTAACTATTATATGGATTTTCAACCAGTTCTATGTTTTAAGTATTTATAATTTTTTATTACATAATATTTTTTTTTTCCCTTTTACTACAGGTTTACACTATCAATTAAGCAATGTTATTGAGTTTGAAATTTGTTATTTGCAAGAAACAGTATATAACTGTTTAGCTTACAATAAAACATTTTAACCATAGTTAGTGTTAAGTCACCACTTGAAAAAGGTTTTGAAACAACCTTCTTTTATCAAGTTATCTAGGCATTTCCTAACATACTTTATGTAAAAAACCTGTTTTTCCAATTTCCTTAAACATCTGTTGAACTGAACTATCTTGTTCACCATACACTTTTTTGTTCAATTTACCTTTCACAAAAAGTGCGAGTAATGAAGCACAAATACAGTAGAGCACCGATTATCTGGACTAATTAATACCAAGGGTGATCCGGATAATTGGACATTATTAAAAAATTTATATCTTAAACATATATTTTACAATATTATTAATACATATACAGTACAGTACAATACGTACAAATAAAAAAGCATTTAAGGTATACCTAAGAAATGATTCCATTTACCTGTGTAATATGGACTCTAAACAACTGAGTACAAATTTGTACTCTATTGTAATTTATTTATGGCAAGAACTGAGTGATTGACAGCTACTTCATAGAAGTTATAGAAAGATGTGTAAAACAATTTTGGCTTTTAAAAAAAAATAAGGTGGGAACATTTTTTGATCATCTTATTAGTATTTATCTGTAGTTAAAGTTCACAGATGAAAAGTAAACACAAGGAAAATGCCCCTTTTTTGACATTCTTATAATTAGAATGGAATATTAATTGCTGTTGTATAACAAAAACCAAATAATGCTGAAAAGTATGTAGATTTTATTTCACATCAATCTAATTCCCAAAAATTTAATATTAAACAAAATAAACTACCTAATAACCACAATTTAAACCCTGTTGCAACCACTGTAATTCCATACAGTTAGAATAATATATGGTTTTAAGATAAATAAATAATATAGTGTTAAATAATTATTGCCCCAATTCTGATGTTTTGTGACATAATTAAAAAATTGATGAAAAAGTACACTTAATCCAGTTTATACCATAAAAGTTGTTGCCAAATAATTTGTTAATATACATGTCTCAACCATTCCAATGTGTGTTGTATCACAGCTATCCTGAAAGCCCTGATATGAGGCAAAAGGCCTCATCAGTACTAGATATAGAAGTTATAGTGTGGTTTATATATTATTATTATTATATATACTTCTTTACTTTTTACTCGTATGTTCTTATAAATATTTAGATTAGTTTATCAAAGTCAGGAAACTTTATGCATAACTTTTTGATACAATTTAAATATTCCATTTACTCTGAAAATTTGCATAAGTAACGTTTACAAAATGTCACGTGAAAATTAAACGGAATAATGCTATGATCAGACAGGTCAGTCTTTAAATTAATAAATATAATAGCATAAAAGTGATATTCATTATGGACATTTGAATTCATCAGGTTTAACAAATATTGTTACAGAAAACCATAAGCCACATTGAACAAATAGTAAAATTATAGCAACTAATAGAAGTAAATGTCTACATATCTTTCATGTTGAGACACAGACCATATGAACAGGCACTAGCATTACTATGCCAATTAATATATGTTGAAATACATAGCAGAGTTTTAGCTTTTGCTCTTGTGCTTCAGTAATATGGTTTGATAGATATAGTTAGTTTCATTTATTAGTTTGACTGTGTAATTCAAAATTACTAGTTAATGTTTTTCTTCTTACATACAAACAATATTTTGGATATGCTTTGTCAGGTTCTTATGTATATCGATGGGCAGGATTCTTTATAGTAGGTGTCTGTGACTAATTGACAATAAACAAACAGCACACAGTCCACATGTTTTAAAATAATGTATTAAAACAAGTCAAATGTGTGTGTGTGTGTGTGTGTGTATATATATATATATATATATATATATATATATACAAATGTTCATTACACAGTTAATCACCACAGTTGTATCCAGAACTTTAAATAATCGTCTCTTTTTGTCAAAGTCCACACAGGCTGGTTCAATTACTGTAGAACACAATTGACAAAACAAATTATTCTTCTCTACTCTGTTACAATACAATCTGCAATAATTTCACTTTAGAAGTTGCCACTATACGTCCTTATGCCTAAACCTACAAACACACAGTCTAAATGTGTCTATCTATTTAACTTTGTCTTACTTCACTTACTTACTTACTTTTTTGTATATATGTTTTGTCTGACTGAGGCGTAGAACTTTCTACAAACTACGAGATGTTATGATGTAAAGATACTCACTCAAAGCAATGAGAAAAATTCAGAAGGTTTGAGCAACATGTCGTCAATTCACAATAACTGAACTACACAACTATGCCTTTACTGAAATATATTAATCATTTTTTATACGTATACATGTATGATATTTCAAATTATAGTTTTATAGAATTGATGTTCAGTGAAAGAAAATAGTTTATTATAAAGGCTGGAATTGAAAAAAGAAAGACAACTTTTAAACTTCATGAAGGATATATAGATGTTTGTTTTGTGACCTAACTTTAAAAGTTAATTTTTAATTAAGGTTTGAATTTAATATATTACTTTCCAACATCATTCAATTGCTTCTAATTTTCTTAAAATTGAGTAGTTCTTCAATCTAGAGCAGCTTAATTGGCTTATTCCATGTGTAAACATACTAATTTACAGGAAAGGTCCAACTGTAGATCTTTGGAACCTACATGCTGCAATTTAATTTTCTGGTTTCTAACCTTCTTATTCCATATGACTGTTCCACCATTGGTACCATACAATACTATCCTGAGGTCATGATTCAAAACCTCACAATAGCTGTACGTAAAGGATGCCTGAGGAACATGGCAACACAAATGCTCTCTTTTACAAGCTTTATAATTTGATATCATTTGTGTCATTCATTTGATATGGATTGCCAGGTTATCTGATATTTTGGTATAAATGCAGCTCAAGTTATTGAAATCTGTATGCTGCATTTTGATAAACAATAATAAACCATTTTGTTTTGTAAGAAAAATGAGTGTATAAGCAGCATGAAACTTTAAAAGAGGTGAATCATCTTTGAAAAGGGGTACCAGACCCATGTGTTAGATTGACAAAATCAGCCACTGGTGTTGAGTACTAATAGAATTAAGGCAATCCTTAAGAAATATTATTGTGAATAATTTCACTAAACAAAGAGATCTCGACGTTAATGATAGTGCAAAAATGTATACAAAATGTGGAAAAAGTTTTCTTTTTTTTAAATCAGGAGAGTTAAAATTAGATGAATGCTGGAATATTCAGTATTTTAGTTCACAAAATTTTGTATATAATGAAGTATATGTGTGTAAGTCAAAGTTGGCTAGTATCTTGACATTGCCAGTTGTTCTGAGGAACTAATTGAACACATTTTGATGAAATCTGGTAGAGGAGCTTTGGTGGACCTCTAACAAATTATGATTAAATGTATAAGTAAATGGATGAATGGTTTGAGTTGAGCAGCCATTTCAGTTTTTACTACATGAAGCCATTGCCAAAGGAAAGTGATGTTTAACAATGCAAATAATATGGTTACTTATGTTGCTTGCTTCTTTTAAGTAGACATTCATGGTGAATGATGCACAAGTGCACAGATTTCCTACTCTGTGAAGCCAACAAAATAAATGCCAAGCAAGATAAGATAGTTCAGAAATGAATTACTACAACAACAACAAATAACTTTAAGAGTTTGTTTAATATTCTTTTGTTAGTACTGAAGTTTCCTTATTACTTTTAAACAATTCTGAATTACAAGTTCAGTACTTTGTTTATGCATTAATTTTAAATTAAATTTTTTTCTTATTTTATAAAGTAACATGTTTTTGGTAAAAATTGTAATATTTTGTAATATTAATATGAGAACAGGGTGATTCAAACAAATCTGATCAGATTTAATATTGATGAATTTCACAACTTACAGGTGGTGTACATTGTAGAGCAAAAACATAGTCGAGCAGCAGCAGGCTACATAAAACTACAGCAAGATAAAAACCCTAATTGGACTCTTTTCTGTCCCACTGATTCAAAAATACCCAGAATTTTTGTTCCTATGAATGAATGTCCACAAGGTGAGAACATTTGTCTTTTTTACAAGTAAATTTTGATAGCTAAAGTGCTTTACTGGTGGTAATGTTTAGATAAGGCATTTGAAAATAACATTGTACTTCATTACCCATTTAAGCCGTCTCCAGCCATTATTAGTCTCAAAGTGGGTTCCTCGTCATCGAAATCGAAATTGTAGTTGTAAGTTGTAATGATGTTAAAAAAAAAACAAACACAAACCCAATTTTTGTCCATTCTGAAATATCTTAGAAAATGTTGTAATATTTTATGATCTGTTTAATTATTCTGAAAAATATCGTTACATGCGGTTGTTTCTTATTGTTGACTTGGAAAAAGTACTATACTGCATGTTACTTTATCCAGTATAGTTCAGTAGCTTATAAGCTGAACACTGCATAATAAAGTGCTTGAAAGTAAAATAGGGTGAAGAAAATTCTTCCAAAAATTAGGATATTTATTATTTTATGTAATTTCTTAAGTACCTTGTAAATTAATATACTTCACAATTCTGAACACAAGTTTGAAAGTTTAGACATAGTTAGTTGTGTAATATTTTTGTTTTTAGTGCTGATGTAACCTGTTATGATTATGAAACAATAACAGATGGAATATAAAAATATAAGTATTTAAAGTCAACATTTCATAAAATAGAATTACATGTACCTGGGCAGAACTTTTGACTCAAGTGAATTTTTAAGTGATTGTAAAATGAAACTATTTAAATGATAAAACAGCAAGAGAAGTTGAATATACAGGAAAACATGTAAAACAATTAAGAAAGCAACAATTTATAGTTCTCCAGGAAACATTCTGGAAACTGAGTCATCAAAATAGGCTTAACAATCTAAAGATTTGGAAACATCATTTAACAGTAAGTCTATGACTATAAGATGTATTGGTCACTCAAAAGGCTTCTAAAATCATTTAAATCTTTTTAAGTATGTAAAAAATTAACTGATGAAAAATGGTAAATATCGCCTCAACAACACTTTACAATCACAGTATACATTTCATTCCTACTTGTACGTAGGACTTATTAACCTACATCTTATCCAAGTCATCACAAAACTATTGTTTTCGTTTTATATGTTATTTTCATAGATTTAAAATATGGGAAAAACATTTTAATCTCAACAGATAGGCTATCTTACTCTTGGGTAGCTGCATTGCTGCTTGTGGAGATGTCTTTATGACTGTTACCTTGATGCTAGGTTTTGGACATTAATTATGATATGGAAAAAATATTAGTTTTTTAGCACAACATCTATAAAATGTTGTACTTAGCCTTCCACACTCATGGCTCTCTACACTGCAATTTTCTGTTAGTGGAGAGTGTTTATGATGGCATCTTCATGTCTTGATTTTACCTAGGACTTATTTGCTCTGAACAATGTGCTTTTCAAATGGCATTATTTGCTTTTTTCTTTAACCTCTGAGAACATGCTTTACTACTAGTGTTAATGGAATTCCTTTTACATAACATGTAAGTTCTCCCATAGGAGTGGAAAACGTCCAAGTAAATAAAAAAACAACTGAAATATATATATGTATGTAAAAATGGTTCTTTGTATTCTAGTTTTACTAATAAATGATGAATATAAATAATAAAGATCAAAAGTTTGCATTAGATCGTAATAAATTATTAACTCATGTAGTATTAATAAATTTCAAGGATACTGTGGAAAAACAGGTATTATGACACAAATTACATTAGTTGTCTATGTATTGAAATGCTTCATACTATTTAGCTACAATTTGGTGTAAAGTAACTTAAAGTTAAAATTCTAATATGATGATGTAATTTGTATCCTTACAATGTGAAGTATTAGTTCGTACTCTTCTATTCAATCCTGTGCTAAAGCCTGACTGTTAGAACTTTTAAAATGGTCATCTATAGTTTGTTTAAAACTAGGTAATATAAAGTTTCATGAACAAGTTATCATGTATACTTGTACTGTTTCTTCCACTTGCGAAATAAAATCACCTTGTGTTATTAGTGTTCTTTTATACTAAAAACTTCTTAGATTAAGCTATGTTCTGTGAATGTATTACTATAAAGGATTCATAGCAAATTAACTTCACGGGTGTGGATATTTAGCCTATAGCAAATGACTAAAAAAAAAAAATTGTACTTTACCCTTAGTAACATTTGTAGATAATATAAATAACCAAGGTTTAATTTGTTGTGTAAAGTTATGTGGTTTGTGGACTGCAGAATTTTAGTCAAAATCTTTAAAATATACTTAGTTAAAACTTCCAATTTGTTGAGTTTACACCTACTATCATTGAAATGTTTTCTTATTTTGTAAATTTTTTATAAGAATTGTTTATATAGTACTGCCTCATTATGATGCTACCATCCGGAACCATGTGCACCCGAGAAAAATATAGGTGGTGGAGTGTTATAACCAACTAGTTTAACGACCTCAGTGATAGTCAATAGTTTTCTATGCAACTATGAATGCACGTGGCTAGAAGAATGCCAATGTGATATTAAATCTGTCCTTTACAAACACTACATCGATGACACTTGCTTGCTATTTCGACAGTCGAGTCACATTTACAAATTCCTTTCTTACCTTAATTCCCAACATCAAGTTCACATCTGAACTTGATATTCACATCTCTGGGCTTTGCACTCAAGACTTTTTGTTTTTTTTAATTTTATTTTGTGACAGTGTGATGACTTTAGCCCCTGAAGCCACATACATGGCAGTGAGTTAAGCAGCAGATGATACTAAATTTTTGGGAGCCAAGGCACCACAGCATTATATCCGAGAAAACGTTATAACCAATAGCATTATAATGAGGCAGTACTGTAATTAATATCAAAGGACCTAGGGAGTGTGTTTTGTTAATACACTAATCAAGGATTGTTTCTTTTGTTTCAAAACATAAAAAAGGTGTGACAGAATTACAAGTTAATGTTAAAATACTATTAATTAATCTATCCCTACATATTTTAGCTTGGTAGTATGGTATTATTCTGTTAATTTTTTCTTTCTTCAACATTTTTTCTAAAAATCATAATAGGGTTCTTTGAAAGACCTGCAGATTTTGCTAAAACCTTATTCATAGCAAGAATTACTCACTGGGACAGAAGTTCTACATTTCCAAGAGGGTTAGTATTAATATATTACCTGTTTGTTTTACACCATATTATTCTTGAAATGTGTCAAATGAATAATTAAATAAGACTATCAGTTAATTAAAACTTTATTTAATACAAAGTAAGTACATTCTTATAGAATTTATTTTAATTTTTACACGTTTTGTTGCTTTTTCTAAATGTTTTTTTTTTAATTTTTCCACTAAAATTAATGTATACAGTAATGTAAAAATTATGGATACATGTTAGCAATACGCATACAGAAGTAATGGTAACTAGATTTGAATTAATAATGCTACAAACATTAACTCAGAAAATACTAGGGAAAAGTGTAGTAAGTTATACAACACACTAATACTCTGTAAGTAAGCTCATTGCTTTACACAGAGCATTACACCTTGTTTTCATGTTGCAGTACAGTTTATCAATGTATGATTATAGAATATTGTTACATTTGTCCTGTATTACTTTCCATAATTCAGCCAAGTTGTCCTTTGACCCCCCCCAGATTTTATGTAAGACCATACACTCTCAAGAATGTTCATATTCGAACCTTGTGGAAGCCAAACCATGGTTGTGAGTGTTCCATTGGCCTTTCCACTGTAATTTTATAAAGATATAATTTTACCAAATATGCTGTAGTCTTGCATCATTGTCTTGCTGGAAGACAAATCCCCACCAATTGAGTCATGTTACTGAGTGAATGGCATGATGGATCAGATTGTGACTTGTCATCAATCAGTGTACCATCAGTTTTTTTATAGATAACTGGCACCATTGTCTTAGTTGCAATCCCAAATTGGTACTTTTACTCCACCATACTTCACTGTAAATGTACATTGACATTAAGATACTGTGTGACTCTAAGCTGTTGAATGAACTGTTACTGATTGTTGCTGAACAATTGAAAATTGAATTCATCTGTAAAGAGTATACACCTCCAGCTTTGTTCATTGTGCTCTTTGTGTTTCTACGACCATTTCAACCTTTCAATTTGGTTTCCTCTTCTTAGCAGCAGTTTTTGAGCAGTTGTATGTCCATTAAGACCATTTCATGCTAATGCGTATCTTACTATTCTTAAAGTGACATTCACTCCTGTATTTATGGCAAAGTTATTGCCAAGATATGTAATCAACTATTATCTATTTCATAAAAAACTTAACCTGGGATACTGAACATCACATTTAGAAAGAGTTTGGGTTTTTTATCTCTACTACTATTATTAACAGTATCAATTTTATACACTCTTTTCGGAGTCTTGACTACATCTCCTACTGAAACTTGGATTTTTTACATGATTGTTATGCTGTATTTCAGTCCTGACAGGCATGACTGGAACCACCCTTCTACTACTGGGGCATAATGTGACTGCCTGTACTTCTGTAGGCTTTGTACTGGTATGTCCTTTCTGGCTGATAGGATGACAGTCAGTCACTGTGTACACTCTCAACATGTGACTGTGTTTTGGTGCACTTTTATTTTAACATGATAAATTGGGTGGTATTTCCATAACATTTGATTTTTGTACTCTCTTTTTTTTCCTCTCCATTTCTATAATTATGTCCAGTATTGTGTATTTCCTACCAGTCTATTGTTGATGATTTTTTGTCATGCTGTTTTATTTCCTATTTTTGTGATTGAAAAGCTAGTTAATTGAAACATTGGTTGAAATTGTAGGGAATTTCAATATGTTGTGCTGATCTCTCCTAAACTGCTTTTTTTTTCCACCAAATGCTTTTGTGTTTTATCAGGGCACTGAATATGTAGTAAACAATCAAATTAATTAAATTCAAGTGGAAAGTTATCTGTACAGCTCCATCACATGTAATACATGTGGAAGTGAAAATCATAATTTACGTTTCAATGACAGTTTTTTCAGATTTACAGCTCTCATTATGTGTCAAGTGTAAAGTCAGTTTTTTTTCTCTTATCTGCAGTTATAACTGAGTTTGTTATTTTCAACATAATTTTAGCCATGATTTTTTTTGTGTATAAGTAACTAGAAATATCTGTAAATGAGACACAATATTACTAGAAATTTCCTTGGTGCAAATCAAATATGATGGTTTAAAGCTATCATAGACATTGCAAGAATGTATTCTGTAACACTCTTACATTAATTTATTCATGTTTTGTATTAGTATTTAACAAATTATAAACATCCAAAAAATAAACCAAAGAATAGAAAACACATTTAAAACTTTTTCATTTGCTCAAGAGTTATGTAATTCACTAGATTCGTGGCATAGTTTGATTTAGTGTTTAAGGGAATGTGTTTCTGCCATAAGTTTAATTTTCAATTTTTTGTGTAATATAGCTATTTTCTTGTAATACAAAGTTATTATATTAATTAATACTTTTAATGTTGTAATGTTGCTGAGTGTGTTTTCATCTTAGGACATTGCAGCGTAGCCTTGGGGAGGCAGGACAGATAGAACCAGAGACAGAAGGAATTCTTTTGGAGAATGGTGTTGACTATAGTGAATTTCCAGAAGAGTGTTTGCACGGATTACCTACAGATATCCCATGGCAGATACCTGAGGTACCAGTTCACTTCTTTGATGATCAATAAAATTGCATTAGTCTTCTTTTAACTCTTCATTCATAAGTATAAGATTACCCATTTTGTTAGTTGAAAACCTAAACATTAAATAATGTACTAATTTAATTCTGTATTTAAGAAACGAGATATTCATTAAAAAGAACATTTTTGAAATTTCTACATTTAATTTTTTAAGTGAATGTGAGTACAGAAGTTGAATTCATTAATTATAATTGCTTTTGTTTAATTTGATTATTTCTGAAAGGCTTAGTAATAAAACATTTTAAGGTCTCAATATTTGTCTCTCCTTCAGACAGAGCTCATACAGCGGAAAGACTTTCGTAACCACTGTGTTTTCACTGTTGACCCTTCAACTGCACGAGATTTGGATGATGCTCTCTCATGCTGCCCTCTTGGAGATGGCCTCTTTGAAATTGGAGTCCACATTGCTGATGTCACTTTTTTCTTAAAGGAAGACTCACTGTTAGATTTAATAGCAAGAAGTAAGGCCACCAGTGTGTATTTAGTTCAGAAGGTAAAGAAAGTAGTTGTTTTATTGAGAGGTCTTCTTGTTATAATATAAGAAAATGAAATAAGAATGTTATTTTAAGTTTATTAACTGATGTCAGTGTTTTTAACAGTTGCTTTTCCTAAGTTTTCCAAGCCATGGTTATTTAAGTACAGTGTTGAAATTTGATAGGTTGGATAGGATACATGATGTTTGATTCAAGAGTCAGTGCAAATATGTATTTTTGTTTTAAATGGTTGTTATATAAAACTCAAATGAGCATAAATTTATATTTTTATAAGGTATAGTGACACAGAATGGTAACTTGAAAAATAATTTATCAGTTGAATATTGTAAATATTATATTGTATGTTTCAGAATTAAAATTTAATAGAATAAATTAATGTATTGCAGACTATTAGTAAGGTGCCCATCAAAATTTGATAGTTATGAAAAAAATTGTATGTAATTTACCCTTTTTTTCCTTCCTTTTTTACATACTTATTTGTCCTTACACATCTACTGATAATTAACTTCTATTCATTGATCAATTTAAAGTTTATTGGTAGAGTACCTATGAATAAATAGATACAACCTCACCCATTTAAAAATACAAGGTACAATAACTCTTGTTGCCTTTGTATAAACTTATCATGATTAACCTTTGTATATAGAGGTGTTTAGCAGTATTCCTTTAAAGAAACATGGTATGATGACACCATGTATTCTGAATAAGTTTTTTTGAAAGTTAACATTTTTGGTGTTGAAAAAGTTGTGATAGAGGAAAGAAAAAAATGTTTAGTTTGTGCAGATCCCCAGCCTTGACTGATTAATTTGGTAGCTTAGTTAAAGTCCAAATCTTTGTGGTAATAAATTTATAACTGTCCAAACAAGGAGAAAAAAAAAAGAAACTGCATGACAATTATATATACAGGTAGTTACAATAGACACCAAGTGATGGCATCTTTTATTCTTTGGACCAAGGTATCCTGAACCTGTGCTGGAGTAAGAACTGTGTGATGCCACTAGGCATTCAGGGCGTCATTCCAACCAGTGAATTAAATTAGCACTGTTAAGTCATGAATATATATATATATAAATTTTTTTACTAAATATTTTTTTGTGATTTATTAAACCTAGCCTACTTTTAATTTCTCATGGGTGTTCTGTTTATAATAATATTCTGGTGTGTTCATTCCATTTCTAACACTAAGAAAACCATTCTTGTTTGGATGTGTAATTTACCAAGTTTACTGTTTACATTCACAATTGTCACAGTAATAAAAGTTGTAAATCAATACTAGATTAAGTATATATATTTACAAAAACAAAAGAAATCTAGAATTGTACTGTAACTTAAGGACAATTCAAAATATTCTTCAAAGAAAAAATATTTTGATAGTGAAATTTTGATTATGTGTTTATTTTATAGTAAATCACCATATTTAAAAACAACTTTTAAGTAGTACTATTGTGTGAGGTTGCTGGAGCTGCTTTACCTTTTTGTTTGAGAATGTAATAGCTTAACTTTTAATGATTTTGATTCTTATATGAAATCTTATTTAAGTAAAATAATTAAAATTATAAAAATATTGAGTTTAGAAATCCAAGAAACAAGTGATCTTTTATGAATTTCTGACTCAGCTTGTATTATGCCAATACTATGTCTTAAGAAGACCCCAAGATGTTAACATTATTCCTATGTAAAGAGCAATGATTCATGTCAAAGTGTATCTTTCCAGTATTGAAACATTTAAACACCCAGGTTCTTTCAATCTCATGAATTTTGTAAACATAAAATCTACAGGTATTTTACATTTATAATAAAGTAATTGCATTTTTTATTAAATTTTTTCTCTAGGAAGTATAGTTAAACACAAGACATAGTATGTAGGGCCTTTTTACAGGGTTAGTCACACAAAAGTACAGTACAACCTTGCATGTAAACCATAATCTTAATGGTTGTACAATTTGAAAAACTTAGTTTATTCTTTTACTAAAGTTTATTTGTTGCTTCCAGTATTTGTGTTAATATCCAACCATAATAGATTATTGGTATTTTAGTGGTACAACCTCTGTCAGAAGCACTTCAAATATTCAAAATTCAGTTTTTGCACTGGTCCAACAGTAGGTCAGTGGTAAGTGTATAAACGTGCAGCACTAGACCCAATGGTTCAGTTTCCCACAATGTACAGAGTGCGGATAGTCAATTATGTAGTCTTGCACTAAAAACAACAACCTTTGCACTGTTATCAATGTTACGTATATGCCTTAATAACAACACTGAAACCTCGGTTTATCCTGAACTGAAAGGTAAAACAAGTAATCATAGTCTTTCAACTGTAGTTTTTCTTCTTCGTGTGCTTCTGACTAAAAAAGCTAGGATATTAACAACTTGGGATAATTCATGTAAAATAGTTGTTCCAGTGCTATTTTAAGTTTTCTGGTACAATTTTGCAAATTTGTATTGTTCAGTTAAGATTTGCAATGAAAAATTCATTAGTTGGAGCATTATTACCTGCCTTCTGAATTATAGCAGTGTTAGAGGTGATATTTGAATATAAGGTCATATTTCATACTGATGTTTGAATATATGGCCACCTTTCATATTTTCATACAAGTCATACCATCTAACAAGTACATATACTTGTAGAAGAAAATATAAGAACAAAAAGTGAAACAGAACCAAAAAACCGTTTGTTGCAAGTTAATGAGAAATATTTGCATCATTTAATTTAAATATAAGCACCTAGTCTCTTGTTAGTTAGTTTTTCCTCACAGTTTTTTGAAAAGCTTCCTTGAATTCTTTGTAAACAACTGTGCAGGTATTATTCTAGATGCAGGAAATATATGAATTAAGAATAAACTCCAAACAGTTTAGTTAAAGAAAAAGATTTGTAACATTTAATGCATTTTGTTTGTTTGTTTTTAGCCCCAGGTTTTTAAAATACTGTTTTGAAGTCTTTGTGAACAGAGAAAAATTTGCACCAGTTAATGTATGCATCTAGTCTGTTGTTTGTTTGTTTGTTTTCATCCCAGTTTTTTGAAATGCTACCATGAATTCTTCGTGAATATGTATGCAGCCTCTATCATGATGAAGAAAATATATGAGTTAATAGTTGAAACAAAGAAAGTTTAATGTGGTTAAATAGAAAATTTTGCTACCAGTTAATTTATACCTCTAGTCTGCTTTTAGTGAGTTTATTTTTTCACCTCAGGTTGTTCCAATGCTACCTCGAATTCTTTGTGAACAACTGTGTAGCCTTAATCCAAACGAAGATCGGTTAACATTTTCTGTTGTATGGACTCTGACGCAGGAAGGCACTGTAGTTAATGAATGGTTTGGCCGTTCTGTAATACGTTCATGTGTGAAACTTAGCTATGAGCATGCGCAGGTAAGGTGATTTTTTTTATAGTATGATTTAATTTAACAACATGTGAGTTGCAGTATACTTCTATCTATTATTATTTATCATTAAAACAATCTTTTAAACTCTCTTGATAAAGAATGAAATTTTGGGGAAGGAAATTCCACAAAGTCAGATTACCATTAATGCAAACTTGAGAGCTTTGTCATGTCAAGTGCTTTATTTATGTGAGATAACAATGAATTTTAATTTTTCATTTGTTAAAAATAATTCTAGAAATATTAAAAATGTAGCCTAATTTACCCATTACCATTTTAATTATTTTCAATTTTCTACATGCACCTGTGTGTGTGTGGTATCAGTCCCTTGGACCAACCTTGTATCTGTGAAACTACATAGTAATATTTGGTATAATTCTGACTTGTATATATATATATATATATCTTCACAGAATTTGGGAAGCACTACAAGTCTTTATACAAAAAAAAATCAAATTTTTTGGTAAAATATTTTAACTAAAGATTTGTCTTTGAATTTCAGAAGCTTTATTGTGTTATTCTGACTCACAATGTGACTATTTTTTTTCTTCTTACCATTTTCATATTTCATTCTCCTAACCTCTTGAACCTCCTGAATAAATATCCAAAGTTTGTTTTCTTCAGGAAAACCTCATACTTTTTTTATCTTTTATTTTTCTCTATTCTACCATTAACTGTAGCAAGATCATCAATGTAAAGTGAAATGAAAGTTTGAAAAATATGAAATATATAAATAATATCTTTTTTCTTCTATGGTTAATTCATTTTGTTTGATTGTTGGTTTCAATTATTAACCTTTTCTTATTATTTTATTTTATTATTCTATTGCTGTGCTTTATACCTATTGATCCAGTAATCCTCCCAACCAAAGCAATAAATCACAGCAGAAGCTCATTAGCCAAGCATCATAAACACCATGAATGAAGCATGCTGTTTTTGCTCCAAATAAAATTTAAGAACACAAACAATGTATCGTGCACTAGAATAGAATGTCCAAAACTACTGTTCTATAACTGTTTTTTTAATTAAGCTATAAATAGGTTAAAAAAAGATTGTCAGCTGCTCGTAACTCAAGAACAAACAAAAAATCTGAGGGAACTGTCTACATATGCCCACAAAAAAGAAATAACCATAGTAAGACTAGTAAGGACAAAAAAGCAATTTTTTTATTGGTTATAAACATGTGTATCAAATAAAGGATTCATGGTTTTGACATATTCCTTCAAAACTAAGATAGATGGGAGGGGTTTCAGTTGTGGGTTGAACAAACTTATTTATATTTCAGCAGATGAAGAATAGAGATTCTAATTTTATATTCAGACATATCATTATCTATAGTTCATGTCTAATTGGTTGGACAATGAAACCTATATATGGGAAGAGAAAATATCTACAAATGAGAATTGATAAGAGAGATTGAAGACTTTAGATATTTCCTTTTGAAGTTAAGAAATTAAAATTTAAATAATATAAAACATTGAAGTAATGTTTTAACTTTTTCACTACGGTCTTGGTACCAGGGACCAACCTCGTAACCATTTTGTGCTTGTTATAGTTTTCATACTATAACTTTTAATACATTAAGCATATCTTCACGAAATTTAGCAGATTATCAGTAAATGTTTCAAGGCTTTTGTACACAAAATATCAGATTTTTTATGTAATGATTTGCTCATGCATTTTTTCTTTTTGAATGTTGACTATCCAATATGTAAAGTAATTTTGATTTTAAGATTAAAAATACTTCTATGCATCAGAAAATTGTAAAATTTCACATACAAAATCTTTATAACTTTCATATAATTATCAAATGTTTTTTTGGAAAAAACCTATTTTATCTGTTACCGTATTTTTCGGAATATAAGACGCACCCTTATTTTGAAGACAAAGTTTGGGGGGAAAAAAGCTAGT